TTGTACTGTAGCAGGAGTCTATCAGGTCATGTTCCTGAATGGGTTGTCGTTGCACAGGTACAGGTCATTGCAAAGCAGTACTGGGATATGGTCGTTGTTCGGCTGGCAACTGTTGTGAATCATGAGGTACGAGTGCAGTGGAGCTGGCTGATGGCCCATAGATCGAACCAATCACACTGCGAATTTGCTTCTTCCGCAGTGGCTCAGCGGAGTCTGGCTGCCTGCGTCTGGTAGTAGGCGAAGAAGAAGGAGAGCCAGTTGCAGCATAGCCGGGAGAGTCACCTTCATCAGGATATGGATATTCACCTTCCATGAGAGTGAGAACTGCATCATCGTCGTTGAGCTTGGACATGCTCACAGGATTCTCAACGGATGTGGTAGGAGAGGCGAAGTACCCAACATCGTAATCATCCCAGTTGTATTCATAGAAGCCCTTTCCTTTTCGACCTTTTCCTTTTCCACGACCTTTCTTTCCGAAGGACTTGCCATAGGACTTGCTCTTGCCCTTGCTCTTCCCTTTTCCTTTTCGATGTGGCATCTGGACGCCTCGTGGAGCAAAGCCTCGAGTACGATAGGAGCTCTTGCCTTTGCCGCCATAGTAATCTTCTTGCCAATGCTCTGACCAAGGATCATGATGGTTGGCGGCACGCTGCATCGATGAGCTGTCAACAGATGGTGGCGCCATAGGACAATCCTCAGGTCGGTGAAATTTGGACCCACAATTGGTGCACTGGGATCCTGCAGGCTGTTTGGACTTGCCTTTCTTGCCTTTTCCTTTGTTGCCCTTGCCGCCATAGAAGTCTTCAGTGGTAGTAGTCGGAGAGGAAGGCGTTGGAGCAGGAGCATATGCTGAAGCTTCATCATCTGGCTGTTCAGAAGGCCAGGGAGACCAATCATCAGTATACCACCAGTCATCTTCATTGTACTAGTCATGGTGATAGGGATCATAGTCATCATCAAACCACCAGTCATACCAATCATCTGACTCAGGAGTGTTTTCCTGCAGGTGGTATGTACCTGGGCCTCCAAACTGACGGTATCCTTGGGCTTGGTCTCGAATCACTTCCTGGCTTCGGCTGAGGCGAGATTGCAAGGTGACCATCTCTCTGAAGCGGCTAAGGTCTCCATCAACTCGAAGGCGCAGGTCCGTGATCTGTTGATCACTCAGGGTGCTCTGCGAGAAGAGGAGGTATCCTTGGCAAACTGCGTTGGTCTGAAGATTAGCATTCGCGCATGCTTCTGTGAATAGGCGTTCCCAGCGAGAGCAAAACTCATCAAAAGGTTCTCCAGGTTGCTGGCGAGTGGAAAAGAAGGCATCAAGAGAGCTCCATGCTCGATCCTGGTCGTTCATGTAGAACTGCGTCATCAAATGATCAACCAATGGACCAAGCTCTTTGCTCCAGGAGGATAGGCTGGAACAACCATAACTCCAGTGGCCGGATTCAGGATGGCTGTTGTCTCTGCAAGGCATGCGGCTTCAACGCCACGGTAAGTAATCGGCACGATGGTGCCATTTGGCTGCTGCAAAATAGTCCGCCAGGTTCATGGCTGTCTGCCACGCAGGGCCTTCCAAACGGCTGATGATAGCAGCACCAAGTTGTTCTGGGTCAAGTCGGGTCAACCTCAACCAAATGGCCAAGAGTTCTTTCCACTTGGCAATGCTGTACGGACGTGGTTTCCAGCCAGGAGGGACATCTTTGCTATAAGACTGAAGTGGGAGCTGTGACGATAGTGAGCTATCTGCCATCTCGTGAAGTGTAGGGAAGTGGAAGTTCAAGTGGTCGTAGTAGAGATAGTGTAGAGCAAGTGCCAAAGACAAAGTCAAAGATGCAAACGAATGCTGCGCTAGGCTTCCAGTACGAACGAAGAAGCTGGCGTGGCAATACCTGAGTCGAGCGAAGCGAAGGAGCAATTAGCTCCGCTACCAAAGTTAGATTTCGGGTGCAAAATATTACAAACGGAAGATGGAAATCTTCTCGGCTTCGAAAGTGGTACACTTCTCGATTTGTGCGTGTCGGTCTATGCGCACCTGTTTTCATTCAACCTTGAGCCATGTGAATTCGCGTGAAACAAAATTGATCGAACGGAACGATGTGCATCGAAAGGTGGTTACAAGCAAGCCAACATCATCATGTATTGAAATTCAAACTGGAGGGGGGGTCCTTAGCGTGATATATCACGCTAGAGTGGGGGGGCCAGGCCACCCTCTTAGTGTGATATATCAAGCTTTGAGGCACGCAGCTCATTCCACTACCAATTGCTAAAGCAAAGAAGAACTCAGCTAGCATGCTAGCTTTCGTGACAACGTATGCAAAATCCTGGCAGGGCCCATGTAAACTATGAATTGTGCTTAGGGTAGTTTTCAGCCTCCCAAAGTCAACTACATACAATGAAGTTCCTTTGGCGTGGATCTGTTTAGATGAATTTTTTGTAAGGAATCTATGAAAATTACATAACCAGAAGTGCTTTCACAAAAGGCATTTGGCAATTATGCAGGCGTCTTCCATGAAGATAATTTTGTACATTTTGTTCTGCATGAACGTTTAATGATTGATTTGTTGGCAAAGGAGTTACAACACACATATAGAACAAACAGAGTTGGATCTCTTTTCCGAATCTGAAGCGGGATTGTTTGGGTTCCTTCTTATAACCTGTTCTTCGGTAATGCTTAACATTTCTTGAAGCATATTTTCTATTCTTTCAGCAATGTCAATGGGAACATCAAAGGAATAATTCTACAAGTGAAAGTTTGTGCTATAGGCAGAAAGAGCATAACATATCAAAAATTTGAGAAAGGAATGTGGCAAATAGGCTGTCAAATTTGTGTACCGCACCACATACCACAGTAGAAGGGGTCATCAATAAGTGCAACCACAACCATACATAAATAGAAAGCAACACATCTAGTGAGCAAAGAATTGCTGCGGCGTGCTATTACCAGAGCCGGTGGCCACGAAATGCCCGCAAGCCCGTGTATATATATATATATGTGTGTGTGTGTGCTCTGTGTGTGTGTAATGGACTCTGTTTCTCTCAAACTAACCGCCTAGGGCACAACCAGAAACAAACACACACCTGACAATGTAGAGAAACGAAAACCAACACTGTTTGTTCGACCGCTTGCTACCACCACCTCAGGAATTGAACCCATAGTTGAAGTGCGGAGTATGTTCGGCATCATTACATTGTTATGTGCTGGTAAGGCCTGGTTAGAGCTTCAGCGTACGCATTTGCGTCCGCATTTGCTAAGCCAGGCTGGAACAGATACGTCAAGTTTCACACTTCTGAATCGTGTCAAGTTCAGCGTCGGCGCCGAAAAGCTCCTGAGTTTGCGGATTAGACTCCACTTGCCATCTACGGAACGGTTTCGCCCGAGGCTTGCAAAAAGCTAAGTCTTAAAACAACATCAAAAGGAACATTATATAGGAATGCTCCACGCACTCTCTTTTCCACCAGCGTTTCTCTTCTGTGTGGTGGTGGGTCAGCGTTTGGATGGCCTTTTCGACCCATCACTCCCATCTGGCCCAGTCATTGCGACACCAAGGCCTTGCTGTTTGAAAAGAAAAATTCAGAGAGCGAGCAAATGACGTACATTTTGATTATTGCAGCCACTTGCCACTCTTCACTCAAGCAAGTAAACTTCAACTGTACCTTGAGTTTTTTAGTTAAAAACTTGTAAGATTTCTTCGTTGCTAGCTCTGCAGAAGTTTGGAATTTATTCTCGGAAAAGTCTTGGATTGCATGATTTCTCCGCGCACAGCTCGGGAGAAAACCGGAATTTCTTCGCAGAACAGCATTGCAGAAATCTTGGTTTTCTTCAGAACTGCGTGCGGGGAAATCATGATATTCTCCGGACAGAAGTGGCAGTCACCTGCAGCCACTTGGCAGTCACTTGCAAGTGGCTGCAAGTGGCTGCAAAATGGAAAATCAAAATGCGCACCTCCTGCGAGCTCAATGTAAAGTCCACGTCTTTTCAGAGAACTGGTAGTCTGAGAATTGCGCGCCCAGCTGCAAAACCAGTGGGTAGGATTCCATGGCCATAAGTATCATGGTCCGTGCTTCACTTCCAATATCACTCATGAACGTCGAGGCAGCGACTTCTTCAAGGTAAATGTTCATGACTTTCAGTGACAGCCATCTTCCCTGCGCTGTACTAGCTCTGCAGACTCTGTAAGGCCAATGAGGAAGGTCGCTCCTCCTAGCCGAAAACAAGCGATGCGTCAGAGTGGAAGGGGGCCACCCCAATCCAGGTCCGGCGGCTCCAACTTGCTGGATTGATGTCTGGCAGCCCTGAATCGAGTTTTGAACCTCCTCTCAAGGATGTCCACCCGTATCAGCAGCTGCTGAACTTGTAGTCGTACAAGTTCAACAGCCTGACCACTCACGCAAATAGGCCTGGATGCGACCTAGATGGGGAGACGGGCTCAGGATGAATCCCAAGAAGGGATGAGAGGAGCCCAAGGCGAAAGGAGATGCACAAGACCAAAGAGAACCTGAGGAAAAGGCCAAAGCCGAGCCGAGACAAGAAAGCAAGGGCCAAGGAAGTGACAGTAGGAGCACCACAGACCCCACCAGTTGGATTCCGCGCCTTTCGACGTGGGCATGAAAGTCTTGAGAGTGAAAAAACACGTTTCAGTCGCACGCCTAAAAGCTATTGAGGCGTTGCGCCAACATGTACAGTAAGTGAGACAAAAGCACATTGTCATTCCCAAAGCTTTCGTTGCAGGCCGCATTGGCCGCATTCTGCAGGAAACACCATCCGCCTGGCACCACCTTCAATACCCGGGAATCAAATGGATCACCGTACCAAGATTGCTAGTCATGCATGTTCATGTTCACATCATGCCTGACAGAATGCTAAATCGTGCGATATAAAGACGCATTGTGTTTTGGTCACCCCAAATTAGTCTATCCTTTGTGCACTTCGCTCCCAAATCCACATCTCAGCCATACTCAGCATAGCTGGTCTTTGCGGTAAACTAATCAGTCAGCCAAGACTCTGTGATTGCCAGGTGTTTCACAGCAGAAAAACGTAGAAGCCTCATCTTATAGTCGAAGCAAACAAAGCAACAGGGTTTCTAGTCTTGTTGCGTCGGCTTCCCTGACTCGTCACTAAATGTCTTGGCTGAATCACTTGCTTAGCCCTCATGGAGAGCATCATTGATGATCCTTACGCATTTGCCTCTTGCAGACCTGCACATGTCCGACATGCTCTTCTATGCACTTGCAGCTTCGCGGCGCTTTGGCTGCTACTTCGCGGATTTGCTCTTCAGATGCCTCGCCCTCCTTGCACCCATAGCCCATGAGGTTGCAGATCTCCATTGCATTCACCTGAACGAATCCATATATAGAAATCACCATGCATCGGGCCAGGGGCTAGAGACTAGTTCAGGTTTTCTACATGCCTTGTAGATGTCCACATTGCCAGCTTCAAGGATGTCAAGCACGTCCTCTTCAGCATCTTGCTCTGTCTAAACATGCTTGGCAGGCACATGATATATGTATATATACTGTACGTATAATGTGAGTCGTGGCCGAACGCTGGTCTCAAATTAATCAATCTGTCTCCGTGCCCAAATTTTCTTTTGTGTGTTTTTTGGGGGGCTGAGTCGGCTGAGTTGTTCTTATTTACATTTTGTAGGGGCATCTTTACGGCACCGTGGAGCTGCGGAAGCTTTCCACACGTTGTGGCTTGGCTGTTTAGGTTGGGCACGGCGGACAGGTGAAGTATGCTCCAAATTGGAATTGCTCATTCTTGTTCTGTTACCCTCGGGTCTTCCTTCCTTCCTATCCTTCCTTCCTTGCTCTTGCTTGCTTGCTTCCTTGCTTCCTTACTTCCTTGCTTCCTTACTTCCTTACTTCCTTGCTTCCTTGCTTCCTTGCTTCCTTGCTTCCTTGCTTGCTTGCTTGCTTGCTTGCTTGCTTGCGTGCGTGCGTGCGTGCTTGCGTGCTTGCGTGCTTGCGTGCTTGCGTGCTTGCGCGCTTGCGTGCTTGCGTGCTTGCGCGCTTGCGTGCTTGCGTGCTTGCGTGCTTGCGCGCTTGCGCGCTTGCGTGCTTGCGTGCTTGCGTGCTTGCGTGCTTGCTTGCGTGCTTACTTATTTGCTTGCTTGCTTGCTTACTTGCGCGCATGCTTGCTTGCTTGCTTGCGTGCTTGCGCGCGTGCGTGCATGCATGCATGCTTGCTTGCTTGTTGCTGCCTTACTGCTTCTGCCTTGAGGGCATCAGGAGAGGAAGAAACAATGGCCCCCCCGCACACAAGAGAATATGGCCCTCCCCTGTCTCCCTATCTCTGTCTCTCTCTCTCTCTCTTTTGCTATGTCCACCTGCACGGGCTTGGCGGCATCCAAAAGCACCACCGCGTCATTGGCCTTGGCTTTCGCTGCTTCCATGTAGAAGTCTCGCGTGGTCCCACTCCTCAAAGAAGCCAATGGAAAAAGGAGGGGCAGGGATGGGTTTGGGGAAACCACCAGTTCAGAACTGATGGCTCACTAAACTAAACCAGAAGAAGTTGAAATCGATCAATGTGAGAGACTGCTTGAATCAGGGCTCGGCCATGTCCCCATTAAAAGAATGCCCCTGAAAGTAGGAGCAGCAGCCTAAGTCACCACATCCGGTATCAGAGCTTGATGGTCTCACTGCACACTCTCTTGCTCTCTGTCTCTGTCAACGTGTCTCGTCCTTTAAGTCAAACTGCGACTACTTTCGATAAGAGTTCCTCGGCCGCGGCCATGCTCACGGGTTCAGAAGGCGTGATGAGCTCCGAGACCGTTGGGGAAGTCGCAAAGCACGGAGTTGACCCATCTTCATCGACCCGGTTGATCCCGTCTGTTGAGTCTTGGGGGAAATCCACCAAGGTCATGAATTCGCGGGTCATGGCACCTGCCACTGTGATATCTTCAATCCCCTCCTGCTCCTGCAGCTGACGAATTTGCTCTCCAGTGTAGCCACCCAAGAACTGAGCCACTGTCACACGACGGCGTCTGGCCTTTTCACATGCCAAAGCCAAAGTGCATGCAGCTTTTGCCGCATTCTGCCCCTTCCCTCCGACTCCAAGGGTGTGAGCTTCTGCTCGATTAACCTGCCACAAAGTGGAAGGACTTGAAGACTTCCCTGCAATTGGCAGCACAAACGCCACCCAGTTCAAACAAAAGGACGGTCCTGGCCAAGGTCCAGCGAACGCAAGCGAAGAATGTGTTGCAGGCCCGGGTTCAAGCCCAAGACCAAAATGCCATGGCTTGGCTCCATTCGATCACAGCTTATGCTCTTGCATATCTCAAAGGGAACCTTATACTATACCTCGTGTGGGCTCCACCAGGTTCTTCAACTGAGTCTGGTTCGAAGACTGAAGAAAATCGGGCGCACCCGATCTTGTCCTTGAAAGATCTTGAAAGCCCGGCCGGTGATTTTCTACATCTGGTTGGTCATGTGATGCCCAAATGCTGCAGCTTGTTTCAATATGAAGCTGTGCTTTGCCCAGGAGTTACTTCTGGTCAGACTTCAAGTTCCCCTCCTGGCAGTGGTGCTTCTCCTTGTGTGGTAGAACCTTCTCCGCCGCCACAGGTGAGCAATAAAATCAAACTTCAATTGGAAGGAGCCTCGCGCAAGGCTTTGAAGAACTTTTCCTTTGTCACCCGCGTCGACCTTGGATGAGATACGGTAAGAATGTGATGCCAACGTCAAAACATGCCGAGTTCCCTGCCCATCACCTGCCTCGAAATAGGTGCGGAAAATCCTGCGGCTGACGGTGCGAGCCCATTGGGAGATTAAAAGCTGTGTATAAAAGCTGGCTGGTCACATCAAATCATGAAGCGGGTTTGCGTGCTGAAACATTCGGTAGCAATGCATGCACGGCATACGGGCAGTGTTTAAATCTTTGGATCAGACTGCCTAGGATCTCTCAAAACAGCACATGTTGTGCAACCGTTGCGAGAATTTCCCGGATCCACTTGCCTCAGGATCTCGGCACAAAGCGTGCGATTGTCCCGGACCTGCGAACAATATGACGCATCTGGTCCGGCACAATTTGCTATTTTTTGTTCAGTGTGTGTGTGTACGCTCTTTTGTAATCTTCATTGCCTTTCGTTCCACACAATCGCCACAAGTGCTAGCCCGTTGGTTGTGGGGACCCGGAGCGTGGAAATCCCACCCGGGCTCATTGCAGTCAAAGTACCGCGAGGTCCCCGACCTGACCACGGAGGAGCATCCTAGGCAAACAGGAGACAAACTGGAGTCCACGCAACCAGACCGGCCGGGGTTGCTACAACTTCAGACCATATATATATATATATACTACTATCCAGCACTCCCCTCTAGCCAGCCGCAATCTCCATTGCTGCCTTGAGTTAAAAGCCCTTTGGGCAACAAACGACATTAGACGACAAGTCGCCAATTTGTGGAAGGACCGATGAGAAGGATAATTTGCAAATTCTACAGAACTTGAGACTCGTGACTAGTTCAAGCAGTCATGCCTTCTTTTTGAACACTCAATGAATATCATTACAGTAATTCAAATGAGTGTGATTCGGTCCCTGCTCTGGGTGTCACGGACAGGAAGCTGGCGAATTCAGGCTCAGCCGCATAACGCCGCGTGCTGGCCAGAATGTTGATACCGAAGGCAAAGGCCTCCTCGCCAAGCTCCTGGGGCACAGCGTCATTTGTGTCCATGCCACTAGCCAGTACAGCCACAATGAATCCAACTCGTCCTGGTTCAGAACTTCCATCATGGTCTCCAAGAAGGGCCTGTGTCAATTTAAAGAAGAACTGCGGGCCGAGAAAAGGCGAGCTGCAAACACATCCTGGACTTGCCACTAATTCTTGGACTAGCACTGCTGGAAGTCAGAACCCCAGGTGTTGGTCTTCCTTCAAGATTCGCAATTGTTGAAGAAACTGTTTGCTTGTTTGCTTGTTGAAACTCTGTCTGAAATGTGTTGTGCATTGGCTCTATAGCAGCGGTGGAAAGATATGTCCCAAAGGCTTTAGTCCGACTGGGCGATAAACGTGCACAAAAGCAGCTGAGGATGGAACAAACAAACATGGACCCCAGCAGCAAGTGCGCACTGACTTTGCAGAGGGCACTCATATCCAAAATCACTGAATCACCAAATGTCTCGTTAAATTGTAAGTGATACATACAAAAATGTATGTGTATATATATATATATGTGTGTGTGTATGCTACCCGCCCCCAGGTACCAAAGGGGCTGCAATTTCCCAGCACTAAAAAATCCGCCCACACCGCTTGTCGGTGCAGGGCGTGCTATTGGGGCTCTTGCCGTCGAGCTTTGCATTTTAGCAAAACATCCTATGCATATAGCTCTGCTAGGGGGCGGGGGGGCCTATTTTTTCGCGCGTGCGTGGCTATGGTTGAGCTGCAGGGCCACTGGGGAGAGCGTTTTGGAGAAGCTTTTGTGTTTTGGGGTGGTTGCTGCGTTGATTCTTGCTCGGCTGCAGGGCCACTGGGGGTAGCGTTTTGGAGGTGTGCTTTTGGATGGCTTTTAGCAATGCCGAAGTTGTATCACCATGGCACCTAGATGGCTGCACTCGTCCCCCACTTGGAGCCAAAATAGTTCGCAGAAGCTCACTTAAAATCCTGGTTCTGCTGGGGGAGAGCGTTTTAGGATGCAAAGCCAACAACATGGCCGAACATATCTGACAGATAGCTTCAACACGATTTAACATAGCCCAACTTAGCTTCAACATGACCACGTATTGGCCGAACTTGACCGCGGGATCGGGCGAAAATGAGCTCCCAATAGCCCAACTTGCCCCCAAAATCCCGGAACTTTTACTCCCTCTTTCTTTTCGCATCTGACCCTCCTTCACTTCTGACTTAGGAATCACAAACCTCCTTTATTACAGCATCACCCCGTGAAGCTCCATTTCACTAACTTCGGATGTTCGTGCGCGGTGTGGGCGGCTGTCGACGCGAAGCGTCTTGAATAGGATGATGTGCCTGATCCCAGTAAGAGCCCCATGTCATCAAAGTAGAGTTGTATTACCTCATCCTACATATATTTGTATATGTGATAACATCCACAATGCAGCCAAATTGCAATTTAAAGAAAATTCGATTGCCTACTACTTGCTCAAAATCAAACCCCATGAAACAACAGCAAAACATAACAAATGCTACTGCAATGTCCTTCACATGAACCCCAGTACAAAATCGTGGTATTGCATCATAAAAGCACCCTTGCTTTATCATGAGTCCAGTGCGAGCCTGTGCACGTTTTTTCAGAGTCTACTCCTCTATATACAGGTTTACTCATTTCTGTAAATGAAAGATTTCTTTTAGGAAAGTCGTCATCTTTGCGAAAGTCTTCTTTCTGCAAATGTTCTCTGTTATGTCTAAATTTGAGTGCACTAAAGTACAGTAAAGAAATGCTGTATACGGGTATCCTTTGAGCAAATACGTTCCGTTCGTGTAGTAAAGCCTTCATGAAAAGTTTGCTAGTTTATAGAAGAACTGTTTGCCGGTGAATGCCATTGTGGTGCAAAGGCAGATTTGCAAGCAAAGGTAATTAAATGCACTTGAAAACCCACTTGTCTCAGAAAATCACCTTATTACTCTAGCTACCTTCAATTAAAATTGCTTTCCAAACTTCTAATACAAGTTCAAAGGAATAGTAACTAATGTCTGTCAAAAACGGTGTAGCTGTAACGAAGCTCATGTCAAGAAAAATGCCTGCTTGCCCCGCCAGGAAGCTCAGGAAGATCCCTTTTTCCCAAATGTAACCAAATGTTTTTTGAACAAAAGCAGGTGCAAGGCCGTTGTACAGTATGTTTTCTGAGTTTTAAAGCGTGTGTGTGTGTGTGTCCACCCCTGGACAAAGGGTTTTCCACCGCTACTCCTTCCACAGTTTTTCAACCACCTTTTTCAGTCACATGCAGGGGGCCAGCGGCCGACAAGCAAACGCTGGCTAACAAAGCTATGCTTGTCGGTGGATGCACAGTCTGATCAACTGTGTGTACCTGCGACCAACTTTTGCACAAGCTGTCCAATCTGATCGGTTTGCTTTCATGGTCCTTCATGCTACCACCCCCCAAACCGGTTTCCCACCGCTGCCTTCAGCCGCCGACGTTCAGCCGCGCTTCTGCAGATGAGTGAACAGATTGTTAAACATTTCAGTTGCGCTGACTTTTTCACCTTACGTTTCCCTCACCTTCCTTCCCAACGTGGTAACTGAGTTCACTGAATAAAAGTGTCAGAGTGTGTGTCAACCCCTGTTTCCAAGGGTTCACGCAGGGGGCGACGGGTTTGCTGCATGGCTGTCGCCAACGAAGCTCCATGCAGTCGACCAGGATGCGGGGACTGATCATCCCCGTGCACCTGCACTTTTAACTGTTGATCACGCTGTCCAATCTTCCTTTTTTGCTTCCATGGTTGTTCATGATACCTCCCCCAGACCATTTCCCTCCGCTTTGCAGCTGCTGAACGCCACTTTCACTTGAGCGTGTGTGTGTGTGTGTAACCCTTGGAATCACAGGGATCCTTTTGGATTGTTCTCGTTTTCAGAGGTTTTGAGCTTTTGCGGTTTCAGCAGGGGGCTGGAGTGCGCTTCAGATGTCTCCAGCCAACGAAGACGCATCTGTCGCACAGTGATATAGTTCTGGGACGCCAGAACTACGTACCTGCCTTTTTTACACGGAGTGGCACGAGGCTAAGCCTAGAACCTCACTGACATGATTCTTCTTGTTACTGCAGTCACGCACGGAACGCCGTCAGCTTGTCGTTTCGTCGGTTCGTGGCCTTTAACTACAGGAACTCAGGTCCCCTTCACCTGGTCTTTTCAGGGTTCGGGTTTCTTAGGCTGGCGTGTGGCACCGCTGTCAAGTCAGTACGCATATCCATAAGTGTGTTTGGCTTCGCGCCAACCCGGGATGAGCCCGCAGAGTGCCTCCCGTGGACCCGTCGAACGGGGGTTTGTCGTTGTTTCCCTTGCTTTGGAAACGTAAGTGTCCGGAGCGGACAGCAGGTGGCCTAGGCCGAACGTACGATGATTTTTGTCTCATCTTTGGAATTCCAAGTTGGCTCATGCCTTTACGTGACCGCAGCGGTCAAAGCAGCCAGCCATTTCGGCAGGGCACAAGGTGGCCACAGTGAGCGGTCAAAGCCAGTTTAAGGTTCATTGGAACCTGTCCCAACCTCAAATGCACACACAGCGCTTACACTCAAACGAGGCAGGTCCCTACGTGCTTCTAATGAGGTTTGGTTTCATCGGTTCTCGTCCCCTCCATTTGGTTCCCCTTTCATCCCTTCCCCTTCACACACTTTTGTTTCCTCTTTTCTTTCATGTCCCCCTGTCTTCATGTCTGTTCATCTCATCCTTTTCTTCGTTTGCGTGCACATCGGTCCCGGCCTTAGTGTGTACGTGCACTT